ATGACATACTTGCGCCACTTCATATGTCGACAATCAAACCTACGCACACACATCGGTGGGGGAGGGTGGTGTCTTCTCCCGCTTCGCCTCGATAATCATTTGTTTGGAGAACCTTGACCGTGGTGGACGGGATTAAGCAAGGTGGACACCAGTTTACAGTGTCCAAGCATGGACATCGCTTTTGATAGCGTCCAGGTGTGGACATTGTTACCCTAGCACCCTCATTAGTTTTAAAATTATCGGTCTTCTTTAAAAATATGAAATTATTAACTATTATATAAAAATCTGGCAAATTAGCAAGACAGTGCTAGCACGTGATGCATATTGTGTTATCCACGTCATCTCATTATCACCTTCATGCATGTATATAACTTTATTATTATTTTATTTACAATTTTACCTACATTTAAAAATGTACTAATTAAAATTTAAAACTAAAACTAAAAATTAAAATTATGAGTTAACGGGTCGTCCCAATACAGTAACCGGCCATTTAGAAATTCTTGAGGCGATCCTTTGTTTTTAGGGGTATAGTTCGGTTGAGACATTTTTTTTGCGGGTTCCTATACGGCGCATAGGGCGCCCCTGAGCGACCAGGAGCGCACCCCCCTGGCTCGCTGGAGCGCTCGTCTGGGCCGGCCCATATCCCATTTATTTTTCTTTTTGTTTTTCCTTTAGCTCTCTTTTTTCTTTTTTGTTTCCCTTTTCTGCTTTTTTTCTTTTCTTTCCAAATTCGTGAACATATTTTTGTATCAAATTTCAAAAAATGTTCGCACTATGTAAAAATGCTCAACGATTCAAAAATTGTTCATAAAATTCCTTTTTTGTTCATCGGATTGAAATATGTTCATCAAAAATCAAAATTTGTTCATTGAAATGAAAAAATGTTCACCAAATACAAAAATTGTTCATCAATTTCAAAATTTGTTCCCCAAATTTAAAATTTGTTCATCGATTTCAAAATGTGTTTATCAAATTAAAAATTTGTTCATTTTCTTTTTTTCTTTTCTTACAAAATTTGTATGGGTTCATAAAATTCGTTTTTTGTTCATCGGATCGAAAAAATGTTCGTAAAAGTTCAAAATTTGTTCATCGAATTCAAAAAATGTTTGTTAAATTCGAAATTTGTTCATCGATTCAAAAAATTGTTCACCAAATTAAAAAATTGTTCATCATCGATTTCAAAGATTGTTCTCCAAACACAAAATTTGTTCGTCGGCAAATTTTGTTCAATAATTCAAAATTTGTTCATCCATTTTTCCAAAAAATATTCTTAAATACAAATTTTGTTTATCAAGTTTAAAAATTGTTCATCGTATTAAAAATTTGTTCATCAAATATAAAAAAATGCTCATCACTAGTAGAAAAATGCTCATATAAATTTGTTCATGAAAATAAATAATTTTACGTAAATTACGAAAATGCTCATCACTAGTAGAAAAATGCTCATCACTAGTAGAAAAATGCTCATATAAATTTTAAATCACGAACATTTTTCTACGAAATTCACTTTTCTAAATTACGAATTATTTTGAAGAAAAACGAAAAGAAAAAATAGTAAAAAAAGAATTAGAAAAAACTGGGGCGTTCAGCCCCGCTCGTGGGCCGGCCCACTAGGGGCGCACGGGAGCGGACGGGTGCGCGCTGGCATGTTCGCCAGCGCGTCACGCGCCATATAGGAGCTCGGAATTCCCTAGCTGACGCTCACTGCGTCGAACTGTCGGGGGTTCCGCACAGCGGATATCCAGCGAACGATCCGCTTGAGCCAGCCCATTAGAAGAAGAGTTCCACCGATCCCGGTTTTGGGAATCTGCTGGAAGGTTCCAGCCGGTTTTTCCCGGTTTTGGGAACCTTCTAGCAGGTTCCTGAACTGGTTTTTCCTTTTCTTTTTCCGTTTTTCTTTTTTTATTCTTTTCTCTCTTTTTTGGTGTTCTTTTTTCTTTTTTGTGTTTTCGGAAAAATGTTCTTAAATTTCAATAAATGTTTTGATTTATCAGAAAAATGTTCTTTTTTCTTTTTCTTCTCTTTTTAGCTTCTTTTCCAAACAATTACAAATTTAAAAAATCATTTTTTCTAAAAATATTCGTGTTTTTGAAATTTTGTTCGGAATTTCAAAAACTGTTCACAATTACAAACTTTGTTCCTATATTAAAAAAAATGATCGCAATTACAAAATTTATTCTCAAATTCCAAAAAATGTTCGTGTTTCCAAAAATTGTTCATATTTTTTAAAAGAATTCCAAAACTTGGAAATTTGTTCACTTGTTTAAGAAATGTTCTAGATTTCAAAAATTGTTCATATTTTCTATTTTTGTTCTTTTACGAAATTTACTCTCTTTTTTCATAAAAATCTTTGTTTTCTCAAGATTTGTTGTTGTTTTTTCAAAAAATGTTCGGAATTTTCTAAAATTGTTCGCATTTTAAAAAATGTGCAGAATTTAGAAAATTGTTCATTTTCTTTATGCTTTTCGAAATATGTTTTGAATTACAAAATTTTGTTTGGGAGTTTTAAAAAATGTTCCTGTTCCAAAATTCGTTCACAAATTTTACAAAATTTTTATATTTAGAAGTTTTGTTGGGAGTTTCGAAAAATGTTCCATTTCCAAATTTGTTTGCAAATTTTAAAAAATGTTCGGTTTTTTGAAAAAAAAACTGGAGTTTCAAAAAATGTTCGCGTGGTAAAGTTGTTCATGTTTTCAAATTTGGTTTTGAAATTTAAAAAATTGTTCTTGTTGAGTTTTTTGGGTAATTTAAAAATGTTTCCGTTCTAAAAAATATGTTCGCATCTCCAAAATTCGTTTGTGTGTTGAAAAATGTGTGGTTTTCTTAAAATTTGTAAAAAAAATACTAATAATGTTCATGTTTGATAAAACATTCACGTTTTGTTTTTGAAAAAAAAATTGTGTTCGAATTTTTGAAAAACGTTCAGATCAGCGTTTGAGTTTTCTTAAGGATTTGCAATGTTCTTTCATCGATCCCTGTGCGATCCTCGACTACTTGATGAGAGAGCGTCGCATAGGAGCTCTCTAGGAGCTCCCAAATTTTTTAGGGGTATTGTTGAGATGACCGGAAAATCCTATTCGCCGCTCGCTGCGGCAAACTGTCGACCGATCGCACAGGGGCTGCGCAGCGAGCGAAGAAATGGGCCGGCCCACACATAATGCGTCCAAACCGGTTTTGGGAATCTTCCTGAAGGTTCCCTAAACCGGGTTTTTTTCCTGTATCGTTTTTTCCTGGTTCTTTTTCGGCTTTCTATCGTTTTTTTATTTCTCTTTTTTACGTTTCTGTTTCTTTTTCATTTTTTCGTTTTTTGTTTCTTGTTTCACTTTCTTTTTCAAGTTTATTTTTCTTTTCCAGAATATGTTCATAGTTTTACAAAATGTTTATGATTTCCTTTTTTATTTCCTTTTCTTTTCTTCTCTTCATTTAAAAAAAATAAAAAATTTAAATTTTGTTCGTGTTACCAAAAAATGTTCTCAAAATTCAAAATTTGTTCTCGTTACACAACAAAGTACAAAACTTCTGAAATTCAGAAAATGTACTGAATTTCAATTTTTTGTTCACATATTCAAAAAATGTTCGCGCTTCCAAATTTGTTCGGGATTTTTCAAAATTTCTCTCCGTTTCAAAAATTGTTCTCAAGATTCAAAAAATGTTCGTGCATTAGAAAATTGTTCAGACTTCCAAATTTGTTCGGAATTTTTCAAAATTTCTCTCCGTTTCAAAATATGTTCTCAAGATTCAAAAAATGTTCGTGCTTCCAAATTTGTTTAGGATTTTTTAAAACTATTCACCATTTCAAAATTTGTTCTCAAGATTCAAAATATTTTCGTTTTTACTGTTTGTTTTCTTTCTTTTGTTTATTATTTATTTTTCTTTTTCTTTTCTCTTTTTTTTCAAAATATTCAAATTTTGTTTGCCTTTCCATAAAATGTTCAGTTTTTTTAGAAATTGTTCTCAAAATTCAAAAATTGTTCTCGTTACACAAAAAAAGTGCAAAACTTTCGAAATTAATATAATGTACCGGACTTCAAATTTGTTGTTCAGGTTTTCAAAAAATGTTTGCGCTTCCAAATATATTCGGGATTTTTCAAATTTGTTCTCTATTTCAAAATTTGTTCTCAATATCCAAAAAATGTTCGTGCTTTAAGAAATTGTTCGCGCTTCCAAATTTGTTCTATGTTTCAAAAATTGTTCTCAAGATTCAAAAAAAAAATGTTCATGCTTTGAAAAAAAATCCGTGCTTCCAAGTTTGTTCTCTGTTTCAAATTTTGTTCTCAAGATTAAAATAATGTCCGTTTCTTTAAAAAATGTTCATGTTCAAATTTTGTTCTCAAATTTCCTCGCTTACAAATTTGTTCTCTGATTAAAAATTTGTTCTCAAGATTAAAAAAATGTTCGTGCTTTAAAAAATGTTCATGTACAAATTTTGTTCTCTAAATTCAAAAAATGTTCGGGATTTTAAAAAATGTTCAGTTTATCAAAAATTTGTTCAAGCCTTTTAGTTTTTCTTCTAAAATTTGGAAAGTGTTCGCTCTTTAAGAAATACCTTTTCAAAATCATTTTCGCGTTAGGAATTTCAGAAAATGTTCGGGCCTCCTTTACATTTATCTCCGGACGCCATATCAAGTCAAGGAAGGTTGTCTATCGCGATGGCTATGCTCGTTCGTTGAAAGTTGGAGGTCCCTGGTTCGATCCCTCTCCCGAGGAGAGCTTTTTGTGATTTTTTCACTGTATTGCGCGAATGGGCCGGCCCAGCTGGAGACGCGCCTGTGCGTCCGCTCGACAGAGCTCTCGAGATGACCTACCTCCTACATTTCGTGATGGGCTGGAAAACATGGTAATCACTGGTGGGCTGAGAAGGCCATGGTGGGTCAGATCTTAAAGGCATATTGTGGCAATATATATAGTCGTGACTGCTGAGATGTCCCGAAAACTTCCAAGGGTTCCTCCTCCTCCGCCGCCAGAGCATCCCAGGCCCGGGGTTTCCGGTGGCAAAAATGGAGGGAGACTGCAGTGAGATCTCGGCGCCGTCGCCCGCGACCGAGCACGACGTCCCCGACGAGCTGCTCGAACTAGTATTCCTGCGCCTCCCCTCCTCACTCCACCTCGTCCGTGCCGCTTGTACGTGCAAGCGCTGGCGCCGTATCATCGCTGACGGCGCCTTCCTCGGCCGCTTCCGTTCTCTCCGCGCCTCCCCTGTCGTCGCCGGACACTACCGCGTCGATGAGCGTACGCACGGGTCGTGTCCGCCGGTATGCAACCCCGTCTTCTCCCTCTCGCCGTCGGCGGACACCGTCGACATGCTCCCGCAGCACTTCTCGCTCGACTTTCTCCCATACTGCGATGGCGGCTCCTGGGACATCGCCGACAGTCGAGGCGGCCTCGTCCTCCTGAATCAGTGCACGGACGCCGAGGACGAGGAGGAGCCGTCTCTCTTCCACGACCTCGTCGTCTGCGAGCCCTTGACGCGGCGCAGCAGGGTGGTCCCATGCCCGGACCGGCTCGAGGGCTGCCTCTGCTGCGGCGCCTTCCTGCTCGACGGCGACGGCGACGAGACGGGTGAGCGCATCAGCCTGTCGAATTTCAGAATAATAGTCGCGCTCCGGTTGGATGGCATTGCCAGGGCGTGTTCATTCTCCTCCGGCAGCGAGGGTTTCTGGACCATGGCGCGTATCACGGCAGACAGCCACGTGAGGCCCGAGAGCAGCTTGTACTTCGCTCGGAATTTCACCCGGTATGTCTACTGGAGGACCGTAGACGCCGAAATCATTGTCCTTGACAAAGACACAAAGGAATTCTCTCGTTCCTTGTTCCCGGAAGACATGCGGTATTTCAGGCTCGAGGTTGTAGGCTGCGCCGGTGGCAAGGTGCGCATTGCCCACCGGGGCGCGAGCCATCTCAAGGTCTTCACACAATCAGAGGGCAGGGATGAATGGGTGCTGGAGAAGAGTGTCCAACTGCAGCAGTTGATCCGTGAGGTTCAAGGTGAAGGTGAGTTGAACGTCGACATGCTGGAGAAGATTGTCTCGGTGGCGGAGGGGTCTGTCGTGTTTTGTACAGACAACTGCGTGGGGCTCATCTCCATCGACCTCGACACCATGGAGTGTAAGCGCGTTCACGACGAGAACAAGTACTACGGGCCAGAGTACGTGTACCAGCTGACATGGCCTCCCACGATCCGAGCTTGCTTACCATGAACCAGCAATCTCGCGCTCTGTTTATTTTGTTCTCAAGTATGAACTGTATTAAGTGACAATCAATCTTGGGCTGATTTGTATTTCGTTCCACGAATTTAAATGTTTTATTTTCTCTGATTGTAGTAGGAAACTTTCAAGTATTTCAGTTCCTTGGAATTGACAAAACATTATCATTGTTGCATTCTCCTTATGTAGGGGAAATATCTTGATTGATGGAAGCGTGCAATTTTTCAGAAGCTGTCCACTGACTGCTGTTGAGATTTCTTCTTTCTGTCGTGTTAGTCAGTCAATTTTAATGTGAGAGCTATGATACCTTCACACAAAGTTTCTTGGCTTGGGTTAGAGCCCGCCACTCGCCGCCACTTGTTGCAAGACCAACTTTATAATCCATATGATGAAAATTTAGTTGCCGGTAATACCTAGAAGAGTTTTGGGTGTTTTTTTTCTTTTTTGAATGGCGGCAGGAGTTCTGCCCATTCTATTATATTAGAACTAGAAAGAATACCAGAGTTTGCTGATAGCTACAGGCCTACAACCTGATGATTTAGACAATGCCTCGACACCAAACACACCTGAGTAAAATGCACAAAACCACCACCTTAGTGTCATAGCTCTAGAAAAACCATCACATTACAAAATGTGACATTTCGCACCGAACCAAAAATTTGACAGTGACAAAGAACACTGACGGTGGATGCTAAGCGTTTTGATGACGTCACTAATCGGCCGGGCTCAAGGTGGATTAAGAGTGCTAGATATCACCGCTCATAACAAGGCTTTGCTCATGAAGTTCATGCACAAGTTTCTCAACAAGTATAATTCTCCATGGGTTAGCATCATCCGGGAAACCCACTATTCACACTCTCTTCCTGGTGATAGGATGGTTGGATCCTTTTGGTGGAAAGTTATTCTGAGACTTCTATCCATCTTCAAACAACTTTTAGTCTGCAAACCTGGGGCTGGCAACACCATTTATTTTTGGACTGATGGTTGGTGGGTTCCCTGAGCTATACTCATTTGCCATCAACAGGGACATATCCTTACAACAGGCCCTAAACACTCTCGAAACTGAAGACTTGTTCCACAAACCACTCTCTCTGCAAGCATTCCAACAGTTCCAGACTTTGCAAGAACACCTACACCAAAGACCTCTATCTATGGGACATGACTATTGGTCTATGAGAATGTACAAGTACATTATGTGAGATAACACATAACACTGCTCACAACATCTTTAAGGACATTTGAGCCACATCATGCAGACCCAAACAGAAAATCTTCTTTTGGCTCTTGCTGCATGATAAGAATAATACCAGGAACACGCTCGAGCGCATGACTTTGCACCTTGACAGTTATAGCTATGTTCTCTGATCTGATAAGACTGATGAAACATCTATTCATCTCTTCTGGAACTGTCCATTTTCCCTCTATTGTTGGGATCATATCATTCCAAACAGAAAGAAGGGTATATCGGCTTTTGATGAAATTCAACTTGCCACCTCACTTCTACCTAAAGACTTCGCTCTAGATATTATGCTTATGGGATGCTGGGGTATTTGGTGTGTCAGAAATAATAAGATCTTTAAAGCTGATGTAGTACATATTGAGGGTTGGAAGTATTACCTTAAAGAAGGACTTTGGGCCTGTCAAATCAGAGTTAAACAGAAGAAGACAGAGTAGATCTGTCTTTGGATAGAAGGGAACTTGTAATTTTATTTTGATGATGTTTCCTAGAGCTGGTATTGGTTGATTTGTTTTCTTTGCCCTTGTATTTGTAAATGTTTATTTAACCGGTCGGTCACAAGGTCTAAAAAAATAAAAATCTCTTCGCCTCCACTATGCCTGAATTTTGTCCCTGCACATGACTCAGGCACAGTTGCTTCTGCGTAATTTTTTACAAGTGTTAGTAAGGTTGAGAGAGAGGGGGAGAGGGGCGCTGTTATATTTCACGCTCGCGTCCCATTTTCCTACAGAAAGTGACGTCCACGTAGAAGAATCCAGTAATGCGTACGTTCTTGCAGTTGCGGCAGTACACGATCTCCAGCGTTCGTGGTCTATCAACTTTGAGGGCAAACAATGGAATAGTCCAAGTATGCATGCTCCTCCTGGAACCATCCGTACGTTACATACGTGAGCCACCCACGGCCTCGTCGCTTCTCCTTGTGGATAGGAGCGTAGATTAACCATGAGTTGGATGGGCTGGCTATCACCGTTCGTAACAAGATCCAAATGGCTGACTCGACCGAGTTGCCTCATGCATGTCTTGTTCGTGGAATTCTTTGCCAGTGTTAGAAAATTCCTTGCCATGGTGGTAGACTTTCCACGCAAACTGCAGAAATTTCTCGTACAAATCCACTATAAAACCCCCTCTATACCCAAGCTATACGTACAAAAGCAAGGCAAAGCTAGCTAGCTACGGCCTACACATACGCAGCTAGCTATAGTGCAGGCACATAGTAGAAACCTTTTAGACACCGAACCAGGAAGTAATGGAGACGCCCAAGCTGGCCATTTTGCTCGCCCTAGCCATGGCGGCCGCCATGGTTAACCTTTCCCAAGCCCAGAACTCGCCTCAGGACTACCTCTCACCTCACAACGCCGCCCGCGCCGCCGTCGGCGTGAGCGCGGTGAGCTGGAGCACGAAGCTGCAGGGGTTCGCCCAGAGCTACGCCAACCAGAGGATCAACGACTGCAAGCTCCAGCACTCGGGCGGGCCCTACGGGGAGAACATCTTCTGGGGGCCGGCCGGCGCGGACTGGAAGGCGGCGGACGCGGTGAAGCTGTGGGTGGACGAGAAGAAGGACTACAACTACGGGTCCAACACCTGCGCGTCGGGGAAGGTGTGCGGGCACTACACGCAGGTGGTGTGGCGCGCGTCGACCAGCATCGGCTGCGCTCGCGTCGTCTGCAACAACAACCGCGGCGTCTTCATCACCTGCAACTACGAGCCCGCCGGGAATGTTGTTGGACAGAAACCATACTAACTGCGATTGCTTCGCAGTACATATAGTCCAGTAGTCCCTCGTTCCTTGCATGGCAGCACCCATGCAAGGATTCATGCACGTTCCTATCTACTGTAACTAGCTAGAGGGGCTATAATAAAAGGAATGCCGTAACAAGCATGTATTGTCCATCATGGACTATAATAAATAATGTGCATTTTTACGGTACCTTGAAACATATATGAACCTTTCATAGTTTCATTACAGTTAGTTTAATCTCTAGCTGATATTGAGTTATTCACTGGTACTCTACAAGACTACAACACAACTACTCCCTCCGTCCGGAAATACTTATTGAAGGAATGGATGTATCTAGACGTATTTTAGTTCTAGATACATCCATTTTTATGCATTTCTCCGACAAGTATTTCCGGACGGAGGGAGTAAATAGGAGTATATATCACCTGAAAAATCCAAGCAGAGTACCATATGTTTAAGGGTAAATAAAAAGGTTACCTTCATATTTTAAAATGAAATATTAAAAAATTATAATGTGCTTGGGTAAAAATATATATTTATTTTCATTTAAGTCTAGTGATCAAAAGAATGTTTTAATTCTCTACCCCCAACAAGGGAAATCCAATCTCATGTTTTATAAAATCTTGAAACCTAACCTCTAATCGAGCGGGGATTCTCCTTTGAACTCGATCGATCATGAACTTGTCGTTTGGTGAAGGGCTATTGATTAGGGATAAGGCAAAGATACCGCAATACAAATATACAAGGACTAAATTGCCCTCCTAGATGAATGCTTAGATTTCATTGGTAATTTTGCCCATCTTTGAGGATTACCAAGTAATGTAAAATTGCTCATAATAAAATCTTGAAGTTCACTATGTGCCTATCAATGCAAGACGCAGAAAGAATCACATCCACCGGCTCAAGGAGAAACAACATGTGGATACACAAGATCAACGAGGAAATCGTTCACGATCACTTTGAGAGTGCCTTGGGACAGGTCCACCTAGGCCGATGGACATTAACCAGAAGAATCTTAATTTCAAAGTGGTCGACTTCAATGGCATTGATGACAACATCACCAAGGAGGAGGTCAAGGCCACCATTGACGACAATGCCTGAGGACAAGGCGCCGGGACCGGATGGCCTCACCGAGAGCTTCTTTAAGAAATGTTGGCACATAATTAGCGACAACGATATGAGAGTGATCCACCAGTTCAGTAGGCTCCAAACATCAAGCTTCCATTGGCTCAACTCGGCAAATACCGTCCTAATTCCAAAGAAGGAGGTGCGAAGGAGGTCGGATACTATCGCCAAATTATCTTCATTTATGCCATCTCATGACTGGACTTAGATTCCTTGTAAGAGGAGGAGAGAAGCGACAGAGGAAACCGTCGATATCGTTGATGAGAAGGTGTGGGATCGCCGCGAAGCGGAGGAGGCCACATAGGAGGATTCCGCCCTCCTCAATGAGTGAGATGATTCTTATGCCAAAACACATCCTGTTGTTTGGGATTGGGACGCTAAGCACGGTTACAAGCAGATCCCATATGGGTAGGAGAGGCCTCGCCGACTCAGCTCATATTGGCCATCACTTGCCCCATGCCGCCTCACTGTTAAGGAGGCATAAGATGAGCGATATGGCGCTTACAGTCAGCCATCCGCCCAGATGAAATATTCGAGTAGGTCGCTGCTAGGCAGCTGCTGGCGCTCGAGGGAATGGTGTCATTTAGCTCCACTACAAGGAGGCACAAGCAGATATCACAGCGAAGCGAGAGCACATGAGATGGCGCCCGGCTCAATGTCAATACACTTCGATTCAAGGAGATGAATCACATAATATTGAGGCTTGCTCACCTTTAAAAAAGTCGTCTCACGAACATCGACAAGAATGAGACAAAGACGGGATCGTTTTAGTCCTTGAAACTAAGGGTGCGATTATTAAGTTGATGCAATCAACAAAAGATAAAAAAATAAAAATCATATTATGATTACTCTGTTTTTGCATGCAACTATTCGTAGCCTACGAAAACTCTTATGTAAATTTCCTAACTAACCCTTCCCCTGAGTTTCATGGGGGTGGGCCCCTTCCTCCCCTAATCTCCAATCCTAATCCTCCACCTGGGTGTTTACGTTAAACCAGTAAGGCTAGTCATAGTGGGAGTAACTTAGGTAGTAACATAGCGCATTTCAATTTTTTTTGCTTATATGGCATGTAGTTAATGAGGAGAGAAGTGTTTAGAGTCACTGTAACATAGCATTTTCCGAGAAAGGATGAGTCTACAAGCTAATAAATAAAGACATCTATAACACTACTACTCCTCATTAAGATAGTAACTTAGACTAGTGTCATATGCATGACACTAGTATAAATTACTCCCCACTATGACCAGTCTAAGAGCATCTCCAACAGCCGCTCAAAAAGGCGCGCACGCGCGGTAAACTGAGTTTTTTGCGCGCGGGGGACGTTTCGGCGCGCTCCAGTGGTGGCGGGAAACTCGCGCGCGCGGGAACCGTTTGCGCGCACGGGTGAAAAGGCGGCAGCTCGCGCGCTATTTTTGGCGCACCGCTTCCGGCGCGCCTTTAAATTGCGGCGCTCGCCACGCGCCTATTCCACACACTTCTCTTCCTCTTCCCACTACTAGGAAAATGCCTGTAGATAGAAATTTACCAGTAGCGTTTGTTTGCAACCCAACGCTACTAATAGTTAGTAGTAGCGCTGGCTACAAACAGCGATATTGGTATCATTTAGCAGCAGCGCTTGTTACCTAGGCCCATGCTACTACTAAGTGTAACACACCACACCCCCTGGTCAAAACATAGCAGCAGCGCCTGTCCTCCAACCTGCGCTACTGCTAGTTTAGGATCTATAGCGCCTGTTTGTCTAAGCGTGCTACTGCTAATTTTTCTATGTATAACATTTTACCAGTAGCGTGTGTTTCTGACCCGTGCTATAAATAGTACACCCCTAGCCGTAGCTATTTTGCAAGCTGCCATAGCAGTAGCGCGTCTGGGTGACCCGCGCTACTGCTATGCCCGCCAGCCACCTACCACCTTTCCCCTTCTTCCGCCCCTCTCTTCTTCCCCCTTCCTTTCTCCCCCTTTCCTTGCACCTTGCTTGTTCCTTTCAATCCTCCCCCACCACCACCCCTCCATTAGAGCCC